AACCTTCCATCATAATCAGGATTAGCTTTGAAATATAATTCTCTAATATACTGAGCATTATTTACAGTGTCTGGAATACACCCAGGAGTTTCCTCGGGAGTACTAAATTTCCATCCTTTCTCATCCATAATGTAATCAACAACGCTCAATCCAATAATGTCTTCAAGCCCTTTCAGTGTTCGTACGATGACAGTTCTATGAGCCTATTATTAGATGATAAACAAAAAAAAAAAAAATTAAAAAATACTTGAAAGATAATTTATAAAAATTTGAGGATAAATTTAAACGTACCCACGGACAACTCCAAGCAATATACAAATGATAGCGATCCCTACATAGTGCAAGTACAACAAAAATAACAGCTTAAATATAAAGCTACATTCACAGCTAAAATGCCAGTGCAATAAACTAACTTTTCGGGAGTAAAAATCGCATCCGGATCTTTACTAATCGTATTACGAAAAGTAGAAGGCTTTCTATAATTGGATTACCATTGGGTTTATTAGAATTTTATTCATCATACTTTATAATAAATACTGAAATATTAACTTTCGAAATTCTCCGTCTTTAGCGGTAGTAGCCATTTTTGCGAACAATTATTTTCGTATCAGATTTTTGATAATCGATAATGATGGGATTTTAAAATAAACAAGGATTTTTAGGGCTATAAATATTGATGCGGTAGAATCTTTGCAATGATAACCGTAACTAGTTGCGACATAAGCTTTAGCTAGTTACGGCTTAACATTAAGCCGTAACATCTACTGTATCCTAGATTATTATAAATAAACTTTAACAACTGTTGATCGTTGATGTAATATTTGTACAAATATGATTATTAATACAGATTTACTAATTGTGTATGCTTAAAAATCACCAATTTGTCAGAGTTCTTAATAATTGAATTGAAAAAAAAAGTCGAGATTCTTCTCTTCAGTAACCCTGCCATAAGTGAACACTGTATTTAATTTTTTAGTATAAGAGACAAGGTGCACATTATTAGGGGAATGTATTTATTGAGTGTTCATTTAAGAAGATCTAATAGTACCTTGAAAAAAAGATAGACGTAGTATTTAGAACTATATATATTGCAGTCTTTTCTTTGAAGAATAAGTGATACCAGTAACGGAATGCAACGAAATGCATGGTTTTCGGTGAGTGAAGTGTCTGTATGCAAATACGTGCATCTTATTGGTTAGCATTTATCAAATGGATTTATATAGTCCGTTGAAATCTATATTTATTCCTAACCAATTTGCTCATGATTTTTCACTTGTGATTTTCAATTTTGTACTGGTTCCCCGGGAATAAATACATCTTGAAGTGAGCATGTATTTTATACCGGGTGTTTGATAAATCCCTGGACAGGACCTTTTTATTGACCACTAAATAACTCATCAAATCACTAAAGAAATCACTAAACACCGGTATAAAAATAAAAATTAAAACTAATATGAGCGGAGAACACGGTATAATATAATATGTTAGTTTCTTGCAATACAATTTTAATTTTGTAGCATTCTGGTTGTATTTTGATTTTGCCCACTAGAAACGGAATGCGATGAAGAGTTTGGTTTAATGGCAAATGAAGTGGTGTTTATTTTACATCTTATTGAGTAATCATTCCTAATGACTTCATCGTTAGACTTCTATTTAAAAAAACTGTTCAATGGGACATTGCATCATCGATTTAAAAATAAAATCTTGTGTTTATTATCGTGGTTTTTTTACTGCTTTGTTTATAGCTCTACCTGCATTATCAATTTTTGTTAAACTATCTGATTTCATTTCAATCGATTTGGATTCACAAAAATAAAAAAATTAATTATTTGTGCCTTCGCATTTTTAATTTTTTTCATCTGATTTTTTATTGGCTGTTAGACGATAATCACTGATTTTTTAAATGAATAAATTGATTGAATGTTCAAATATAACCAAAAGTATGGTAATCTTTATTATTTAAATTAATCCAATATAATCGTTTAGGTCAGTGATTTGAACGCTTTTGCTATCTTATTAATTGTTGTTTTGCTATCACCGATTCTGCTGTAAATTCATAGTGCGAAATGTAGGATTTAAATTTAACCAACCAGAGTAATTCTGTGGAAAAAGTAAATGTCTGTAATTCCTGATTTTTTTCGATTTAAAGGTAAATCCATTGAAGGGGCATTTTGGCGGCTCATTGTTAAGAAAATCGGTTATTGGAGAAACGACAAAATAAATCGAATTTGTAGACGTGTTCATGAGGACCGAACTTTGCAACACCGAATTTTTTTTTTTATTATTAGTAGATTTCTGTGCCCTGGAAATCAGTAACACCGGGGTTCAATCTGGATCAGGCTCATATAACGTACGTACGTACATACTTGTTGTATGAATGGCGTGATCTGGATTTGCATAAATTAATTAGTCTAATTTGTAGATAGTCTAATGCGAACCAGGTAAATTAATATCCGGATGAAATCTAAATCTCCAATAAAAAATAATAATTATTCGCTTAGTGTAAAAAAAAAAAACATAATCATAAAAGATTGATGTTCGCTGTATAGGCGGAAGGACCTGTACGATACATTATCTACGTAGAAATTAGCCAAGCGAATGCGAAGCGTTAGCAAAAGCCAAGAAGTACACGGTAGCCTGTGACAGTATAATTTACAAAAAAATCATAAAAAAAAAAAAAAAGAAAGAAAAAAAATATCAGATTGATTTGAAACAGATAATGTTTTAATAATTGTCACGGATGATCTGAAATCTGAGGGTCTTAATTTAATATATAAATGCTACCAAAACTCATTTATTGTCGCGGATCATAATGAAATCGGATTAAAATGAAATAAGGGTTTCTATATAATCCTCTAAAACCCACTTATACTTGTTTATTATAAACTCTACCCTAAAACTAACCTCTAGCCCTAACCCTAACCCTAAAAAAATGCACCTCAAAAATTTTTATTTTGTCTATTTTTTACATTGTATAATATTTCATTTTACCGTATTTTCGTGTAATAACGCTCATGAGCGTTAGGCCACACCAAGTTAAAACTCTGTATAACATACCCCCCCCTCTTTTTGACTCAGATAGAGGGGGTAATAAACAACACTTAATATAAAAATCATATTAACTGTTTAAAA